TTATAGAACATGATTACATTGAGCATGACATCATGTAGCATTCAACAAACTTTATCTTGCTATTGAAGAATGATGTCTTTAGGTTTTCAGGCTGGCTTTTCTTTCTGAATGTTTTCAACTACTACCTAATATGCACACCATTAGGAAATAGTTAAAAGAACAAAGTTTTTAGATTTTTCAACGTTGTGAGCATTGTCTGGGAAATTAACCTGAGTGGAATAAAAATACTACATAATATTCCAATAGAAATTTAGCTCACTATTAAATTGAACCATATGAAATTGCCATTTTGTAGTTAAAAATGTAGATAAAACTTACCAATTCATATAGTTCAACTTAATCTGATTATTTCATCTTCATGAATTTGGCAATAACTAGAATGTAAGCCTCACAAAGACAGGGATTTCTGGATTTTGTTCACTACTGTTCATATAGTAGGCCCTTGGAAAATATGGCAACTCACCTTCTATCCTAACACATGCCTTTGGGTTTAGGTTTAGTGTGGGAATAAGAAAAATAACATTCTAGGGGCGCCTGGGTGGCTCAGTTGGTTAAGCAACTGCCTTCGGCTCAGGTCATGATCCCAGGGTCCTGGGATCGAGTCCCGCATCGGGCTCCCGGCTCGGCGGGAAGCCTGCTTCTCCCTCTCCCACTCCCCCTGCTTGTGTTCCTGCTCTCGCTGTCTCTGTCAAGTAAATAAATAAAATCTTAAAAAAAAAAGAAAAAAAAAAAGAAAAATAACATTCTATGCATAAGTTGGTCTCTTAAAATGATAAAAAGTTTAATTTAAAAACCTAATTCACCCCCCAAAATTGAAAACATATGTCCACACAAACACTTGAACATGCATATTCATAGCGGCATTATTGATAATAGCCAAAAAAAATAGAAATAACCAAATGTCCATCAACTGATGGAAGTTTAAACAAAATGTGGTATATCCATGCAATGGAATACATTCAGCCATAAAAAGGAAAGGAGTGGGGTACCTGGGTGGCTCAGTTAGTTAAGCATCTGCCTTTGGCTCAGGTCACAATCTCAGGGTCCTGGGATCTAGCTCAGGGTGGGGCTCTCTGCTCAGCGGGGAGCCTGCTTCTCCCTCTCCCTCTGCTGCTCCCCCTGCTTGTGCTTGCTTGCTCTCTGTCAAATAAATAAATAAAATCTTAAAAAAAAGAAAAAAGGAATGGAGTACTGGCAGTTACCACAACATGACTGAACCTTGAAAATATTATGCTATTCGTAGACAGACACAAAAGGCCACATATTGTATTATCCATTCATATAAAATGTCCAGAATGGGCAAATTGAGACAGAAAGTAGGGTAGTGTTTGCCAGGGTCTGGAGGCAAGAGGCAATGGGGAGTGACTGCTAATGGACACAAGATTTCTGGAGTTAGTGGTGGTAATTGTACAACCTTGAGAATATAACAAAAACCACTGACTTGCGTGCATGTTTTAAAATTCAGGGTGAATTTTATGGTATATGAAATATATTTCAATTTTTAAAAAGTGGAAGAAAACTAAGTTCTCTTCAGAACATATCAAAGTACACTATAAAATAATAGACGTGTGTTTAAAAGTCTGAGAGTATTAGGAAATGTTCCCTTGTTTAATTATAAACGGAATGGAATGTTTGGAGATTTCAGTAATCTGACAGCGAACATTAAGAGGATTAACCTGACTTCCCAGTGTTAAGAACACCAATTTAAACTGTATCATTCAAAAACTACATGGTCATGCTAAAATAATTGTAGCAATGATTCACACACACACACACACACACACACACACACAATTAGATTAACTACCCATTAAGGCTGTCATCATTTCAAATACCTTATATTTATATAATGCTTTTACTTCCTTAAGTATTGAATTGTGCCTAAAGATCTAATGTATGGGAGAGTCACATCTCTAACCATGTAATTAAAGGCAGAGAAATGGGTGGGATTGGACAAAAATTAATTAGCAATGCCGACATTCCAGATTGGAACACAAAGTAGGGCAGGAAACTGAAATTCTAGCCTTCAATGCAGACAGTTAAATTGCAAGAACTAAAATTGCAACATTCTGGAGTACAATTTAAAAAAATTTTTAATTTAAATTTTAGGTAGTTAACATACAGTGCAATATTGGTTTCTGGAGTAGAATTCAGTAATTCATCACTTACATACAACACCCAGTGCTCATCACAACAAGTGCCCTCCTTAATACCCATCACCCATCTAGCCCATTCCCCACCCACCTCCCTCCATCAATCCTCAGTTTGTTCTCTTTCAATAACAGTCTCTCATGGCTTGTTTCCCTCTCTTCTTTTTTCTTTTCTTTTTTTTTTAAAGATTTTATTTATTTGCGAGAGAGAGAATGAGAGACAGAGAGCATGAGAGGGAGGAGGGTCAGAGGGAGAAGCAGACTCCCTGCCGAGCAGGGAGCCTGATGTGGGACTCGATCCCGGGACTCCAGGATCATGACCCGAGCCGAAGGCAGTCGCTTAACCAACTGAGCCACCCAGGCGCCCGCCTCTCTTCTTTTCTTTCCCCCCTTCCCATATGTTCACCTGTTTTCTTTCTTAAATTCCACAGATGAGTGAGACTTAGGGTATTTGTCTTTCTCTGAATGACTTATTTCACTTAGCATAATACACTCTAGCTCCATCCATGCCATTGCAAATGGCAAGATTTCATTCTTTGTGATGGCTGAGTAATAGTCCATCATACACCCCCCCCCCCACATCTTCTTTATCCATTCATCAGTCGATAGACGTTTGGGCTCTTTCCATAGTTTGGCTATTGTTGATAATGCTGCTATAATATTGGGGGGCATGTATCCCTTTGAATCTGTATTTTTATATCCCGTGGATAAATACCTAGTAGTGTAATTGCTGGATAGTAGGGTAGTTATTTTTAAATTTTGAGGAATTTGGAGTACAACTTTAAAAATATATTGATCTACTATATGCATATATAAAAGGATACACAATGCTACATGTTAGATTATGAATTTCCCTGAGTGAACATTCCTACGGAATCAGCCTCCAGATCAAGAAATAGAGCATAGCACACAGAACTAGGGCTTTTTTTTTTTTTTCGAAGCCAAGAGAATATTAAAATAGTTTAAATCTCTTGGGGGGGGGCGGGCAAAGGACCTTGAGTTGGTCATAATGTATACTACAGTATGAACTTTCTTTTCATGGCAAATTTACCAACAACAATATCTATCATCCTTCACCTTCATTTAACCACTCTGAGTAATGGTCTTTTTGTCTGGCTCCGGAGATTCAGAAACAGTTCCTTAATTTACGAATGACTTTTGAGATCGCCCACTTCTGGCTGCTTCCTTCCAACAAAATCTTTTTTTTTTTTTTTTTAAGATTTTATTTACTTACTTGACAGAGTGATAGAGAGAGAGCACAAGTAGGCAGAGAGGCAGATAGAGGGAGAAGGAGAAGCAGGCTCCCCGCCGAGCAGGGAGCCCGATGCGGGGCTCGATCCCAGGACCCTGGAATCATGTCCTGAGCCGAAGGCAAACGCTTAACGACTGAGCCACCCAGGCGCCCCCCCCCTTTTTTTTTAATTTTTATTTGACAGAGAGAGAGACACAGCGAGAGAGGGAACACAAGCAGGGGGAGTGGGAGAGGGAGAAGCAGGCTTCCCGCGGAGCAGGGAGCCCCATGCGGGGCTTGATCCCAGGACCCCGGGATCATGACCTGAGCCGAAGGCAGACGCTTAAGACTGAGCCACCCAGGCGCCCCTTTCCAACAAAATCTTAACCAAATTTTCTGAGCAGAAAAGTGTTAAGGACGGCCTTTCGTGTCAGAGGGCTGAGCACCCTTGGACCCCCTCCAAACAGTCCCCTCCAGATCTCACTCGGCCTCGCGTCGCCAAATACTCCTCTGTTCTACCCAAAGCCCGCGGAGCTCGGAGCGCGCCACAGCGCGGTCCAGGGCCACCTGCACCTTCGGGGAACCGGGCGGCTCTTCTACGCTCGGTCCCCAAAGCTGCGCTGTTCCTTTAATTGGGAACGGGGCGAGGGTGTGCGGAGAACGGCTGGTTCCTCCCGCCTCCTGCTCCACCGCTCCCTTCCCCCTCCCTTCCGAGTTTCAGGTGAATGGGTCACCGAGGGAGGAGACGGCCGGAACAGGCTTCCTCGCTGGCGTCCACCTCCCCCCCACCCCTTTCTCCTTGCCCTGCAGGAGGCGGCGGGACTCCAGGGCAAGCTGGCCAGAGCACCCCAGGGCCCGCGCTGGTGCGACAGGTGAGCTGCTCTGGCGCGGGACCGCGGACCTCCGGCACCGGCCTGGCGCTGGTGCGCATGCCCGGGGGCAGGACGGCCGGGGTGGGGGAAAGAGGAGGAGGAGGAGGAGGAGGAGGAGGAGTGGAAGAGGACTGCCTGAATTCCTAGGCTAGTCGCTGGCTGCGGGCGGGCGGCCCGCACAGCGTCAGGTGCGCTCGCCAGGGACGCGCGTTCTTTGGCTCCCGCGGCCCTTGGTGGGCCGGGCGGGGCTGCAGTGAGTAGGTGAGAGTTGGGCGCGGCGCTGAGCGCGCACGGTAGCCTCAGAGTCCCCGCGCGGGATCGCGGCTCCGGTGCGGTAGGGGAGGCGCGGGGGGAGCACGCCCCGCGCTAGTTTCGGTGGCGGTTTCGCTCTGGGCTGGGACTGGCGGGAGTGGGAAGGGAGCGGGTCTGCCGGGGGAGCGGCGCTGGTCCAATTTGGAGGCTGCCTCGGCGAAGGGCCACTTGGAGCCGCCGATCAGCTCCTTCGGCGGAAACGCTTAGAGCTCCCTGGGTCCCGGCGGCGCGGGCACCTTGTCGCTTTGATGGGGGGCGGGCGGTTCCCGAACCGGGCGAGCCCAGCGCTCAGCTCTCGGGACTGTAATGCTGGGAGGGCCTCAGGAAGAGGGGCGCACGCCCGGTTCCTCCGGGGTCCTGAGCCTGAGGGCCGGAGCCGGGGGTGGGTGGGGGTGCTCGCTGGCCTGGGCGACTGGGATCCCGGGGCTGGGGGAGGACCTCATCGATTCCGCCCCACCCACCCCTCGGGGATCGCGGGGGGAGAGCGGGGGCCGGTTTAATCCGGGCAATATTGCTAGAGCCCTGGGGTGGGCCGGCCCGCTCGTTGGCATCCAGTTAGTGGGAGTTGTGCGAGCCCGCGTCAATTTAAGCCTGAGGGCGGGGATTTAATTTCGAGTGAGGCTGTATTTCGAGGGAAGCTGCTCACGCTTCGGATTCTCACCCGTGACCCAAAGGCCGCCGCCAGGTGAGCGGATCTGCCTCCGGGCGGTCCCAGCTGGACGCGGGCTGGCGCGCACCGGCCGGAGCGCACGGAAGCGGACCTGCCGCGGGGCTTAGACACCTACCGGGAAGGGCCGGCCTGCGCGCGGCCAGCCGACATGTTGCCTGCGTCGGAGGAAGTGTGCGGGGAGAGCGGGCTTGAGGGGCCAAGATGGCCTCTGCTCCTTGGGGGTGGAAGAGCAATTCCGAGCCCCTGCGTCCCAGGTGAAGCGATAACCCCGGGAAGACACGGCATCCTCAGGCCGGCCCTGGGGCTGGCTGGGCAAACTGCCCACCTGGGAAATGACCCGGGGCGGGGAGGAGGCAGCCTTCCAGGTTAGTGTGTGGTCCTCACGCACAATAGGTGTATTATTGGGATCCCTGGAAAAGAGAAACCTTCCCGTTAAGGCACTTCGGGTGATGTTTGGTGTAACTGAAAACTAGTCCTTTCTAGATGGAGGTGGATGTCTCAAGCTACCCATTCCCAATACAGCAGTGTTGCTCTTGTACAGTACAAATGAATCTTTATTTGCTCTTTCTGGTATTTTAAAATAGACATTGTAAATGGTGGAGCCACCGTAGTAGGTATCTCCTCAAAGCAACACTTTTGAGTAGTTTTTTGCATTTATTTAGTTATTAGGTGCCGCCTTGGTTAAGTGATGGAGAGGAGGATGGCGAGATTTGTGCAGCTTCCGGGCTGTTTAGGGAAATGATGCGCAGTGCCTCCTAACTAAGAGCCAGTGTGCTAAAAGAGTTTTGTACTTTGTATCATTTAGTGATACTGACAACTCTAAAAGGTAGATCTTAGAACTCCGTTTTAAAGGAAAAACACCGGTAGGGGAAACATAAATGGTGTGGCTTGAAAACTGCTTCGGCTAATCGGGGCGGGTATACCAGAAAAGCAGCAGGCCTTGATATTCCAGCACCAGAAGGATTTGGAGTTTTTCTGGAACGCTCTACTTTTGACTAGTCGCTCTGGTCTCATAGAACCTTTCCACATCTTGTTTGATGTGAAGGTAAACTTCCTGTTTTCTTTGAAAGATAATGTTGGAATTATTGCCCTTTCAAAATTACAAGAGATTATTTTTGACCACACAAATTAACTGATATAAAATCTTTCACCTGCCCACGAACCTGCCAGACGGGAAGTTTTCTTCAGGTGCATTTTCAGGTTTCCTTGATTAGAGTCCTTAGCGGGCTTTTTTCATCCAGGTTATTATTTAATGGAAATACTGGGGTAAAAAGACCCTGAGGATTTTTTTTTTTTTAAGATTTTATTTATCTATTTGACAGAGAGACAGTGAGAGAGGGAACACAAGCAGGGGGAGTGAGAGAGGGAGAAGCAGGCTTCCCGCGGAGCAGGGACCCCGATGCAGCTCCATCCCACGACTTTGGGAACATGACCTGAGCCAAAAGCAGACGCCTGAGCCACCCAGGTGCCCCGACCCTGAGGACTTTTGTTACAGCTTTTGTTTTAGCCTCTAGGTTTGCAGCTGTCCCCTAACCCCATGGTTCCTAATCTTGACTGTGGTATGAATCACCTGAGGATCTTACTAAGATACATTCGTATTCGTTGGTCAGATGTGGGGCCTGGAATTCTGCTTTTCAACAAGCTACCAAATGATGTCCATATGGCTGGTGTTTGACTCTCTCCTCTCCTTCAGACTGTAAGCACTTAACTAATTTGGTTGAACGTAAAGGATTATATTTACTGAGTGCTAGCATTGTGAGGAACTTAAAGACATTCACAGCTGTATTGAAATCCTAACTGTAATATGGGCTGTTGGTTTTATAAATCAAATGTTGATTGATCATCACTTTGTATCAGGGATCAGGCAGAAGAGTGATGGTCAAGACAGACATCTAGGTGCTTGTAAAGCTGGTATTCCAGTTGGGATGGAGATGGTGGCAGTTTAAAAAGTTAAAAAATAAAAAATAATTAGTGGGGGGAATTTGCTCTGAAAATACAACAGGTTTGGTGGATGGGTGACCTGGAGGGCACCTCTGAGGAGGGGATAGTTGAGGTGAGATCTGAACAGCTGGTTCCTGCCCATTATAGACAGGAAATGCCAAGATCAAGGCCCTCCTGGGATTGACGCCTTTTTTTTTAATTAATTAATTTTTTTTTAAGATTTTTTTATTGAGAGAATGAGAGAGCACATGAGAGGGGGGAGGGTCAGAGGGAGAAGCAGACTCCCTGCTGAGCAGGGATCCCGGGACTCCAGGATCATGACCTGAGCCGAAGGCAGTCGCTTAACCAACTGAGCCACCCAGGCGCCCTGGGATTGACGCCTTTAATCTAGGCAGTGATGCTGAAAATACATGGTGTGCTTAAGAATCATCTGGAGTGCTTATTTGAAATGCATTTTCCGATACAGAGCCCATTGTCTATTGCATAAATCTGCCTAATTTTAAAATTTTAGACAACTTACTAATTATGTGCCAAAATATAAATAGAAACGTTTAGTACCAGCCACAACTTTTAAAAACTTCTTGAAGGCAAATTAACTATTGCTGCCTGTGATTGAAAAGGAATAGGCTCTCCTTAAATATGATAAAATTTATCTTTTACTTATGACAGTTGCTTTAAAGAATTATTCAGGGGCATAGTATTTTCAGGCTTTTCTTCTTTGTCTTAGCTTAGGTTTTTATTAGGACAGCTTTGGCCAGTAAACATAAGGGGAGAACTTTTTGTATATTTTAACGTCAGTCAATCTTATACATTTAGTAAGAGTCTGCTGTTTCCCTTATGCTCCTGACTCTTAATTCAGCTGTTTGACTTGGTTCCCTTTCACTCGCTTTGGTACAGGCTCTGTGACCGTGGCCACTGAGCCCTTTAGGCCGGATCCTGTATCCTCTCCATTCGTTTTATTTTGTCCTTCACTCAACATACATTTATTGAGCAGATAACGTTAATATTGCCCTGCAGGGGGTTGGGTAACAGTCTGTTCTTGGTCCTTTTTTTCTTTGGCTGTGACCTGAAGGCACAGTTCCAGACTGCCTTGAAGGAGACTAATATTAGAGTTCCTTCAGTCCAGTCTCCCCAGAATATCAAACAACTTAAGCTTTGCATACACGGCTTCAGATAAAAATTGTTATTTGTTATTTTTGAAGGGTGTGTGGAGTCAGGGTAAGGGAGAGGCTTCCTAACATTGACATGAAATCTGATCCTGTGGTATCTTTTCTTCAAAGAATGGTTTCTAGGATTACAAAGACAGCTCTGCAGATATTTGAAGGGTGCTGTAGTGGTCCTTCTAATGTTGATTTGACCAGGCCAAACATTTCCTGTTTTTTCAGTCATTTGTCTTAAGACATGGTTTTTCTGGTTCTTGAACGGTCAGGCACCTTCAGGAGAGGCACCTCGTTGGAACATGATGTACAGATTCATGGTTATGCAGAAGGTTTTTTTTAAAGTGTATCATTCCTAGATGGAAGCAGCTGTCTGTGACTACTGCCAAAGTTAGGGATAACTTGTTAACTTTGTTGAAATTCTCACCAAGGAAATGCACTTTTAAAAAATTGAGTCTCTGAGACTTTATAAAATGATTTATCCATGCCACCAGTATTTGAAAATGGATACAATGTACCTAAGTGCCTAAACACTGGAATGTCTCACTTTCAAGATAACCACCTTGCTGTGAATGCTTTTCTCATCTTCCTTAATATATTATCTTAATTATTCCAGCCTAGAGGTCAGGCTTATCCCCTGCCCTTTGGCATAGGAGGGTAGTGAGGTTCAAGGAAGAAAAGTAGAATTTGTCCTCTCACAGTGAGCTTTTTTTTTTCTCTCTCTCACAGTGAGCTTTTAAAACCATTGGGTTTGTTTTAGCCCATCAGTCTGGCCCCACAGAGAATTTGATATACTTGAAGACGGTGGGTTGGTTATCCTTTCCAGTGTTTTGTCAGCTGCAAATCTGGATAAGCTTGCCCATCTTGTCTGTGGTCACCAAAATGACCTCCCTCTCTGTTCTTTTTTAAGATTTTTATTTATTTGTGAGAGAGAGAAAGCAAGCACAAGCGGGGGTAAGGGCAGGCAGAGGGAGAAGCAGGCTCCCTGCTGAGCAAGGAGCCCAATGTAGGACTCGATCCCGGGACCCTGGGGTCATGAATGTACCATTCTTTTATCCTATTTAGATTTTTTCAGTCCCAGAGGAATGTCTATGCATGGGGATGTGCTGAAGATTCTAGGGCTTCATCTACCAGTTTGGTAATCTCAAAAAAGGAAATGAAGCTGATATGGCATGCCTTGTTCTTGATAAACTTCCTAAAATTACTTGCTTCACAATATAAAATCTCTGGTATTAGAGGGGATATGATAACTAAACTCTGAATCCATGAAATAGAAGTTTGGAAAGGGATTTTGGTGTCGATTTTTTTTTTTTTTTTAAAGATTTTATTTATTTATTTGACAGAGACACGGTTAGAGAGGGAACACAAGCAGGGGGTAGTGAGAGAGGGAGAAGCAGGCCTCCCGTGGAGAAGGGAGCCCAATGCGGGGCTCGATCCCAGGACCCTGAGATCACGACCTGAGCCAAAGGCAGACGCCCAACGACTGAGCCACCCAGGCGCCCCTGGTGTCTGGATTTTTGACAAAATTTAAACTTTAGCCTGAGTCTGGATTAATTTAGAATTTCCAAAAACTACCATGGAGGGGCGCCTGGCTGGCTTAGTTGGTAGAGCATGTGACTCTTGATCTCAGGGTCGTGAGTTCAAGCCCCAAGTTGGTCGTAGAGATGACGTAAAAAACTAACATGGAGCCTGGAATTTTTGTCATAGTTTTGAATGAGTGAGCCAGAGCTATAAAAGGGCTAAGTTCCGTTTGTCAGTATTTGACATTCAGCTTCAGAACTGGAGTCCTACGTTTAATAGTGTTTAAATTCAGTTTATCTTTTCTCTTTTTAAAGATTTATTTATTGAGGCGCCTGGGTGGCTCAGTTGGTTAAGGTTCTGCCTTCGGCTTAGGTTATGGTCCCAGGGTCCTGGGATCCAGCCCTGCATCAGGCGTCTTACTTGGCGGGGAGCCCGCTTCTTCCTCTCCCTCTGTCTACTGCTCTGCCTACTTGTGCTCTCTCTCCTTCAAATAAATAAAATCCTTAAAAAAAAAAATTTATTCATTAGAGAGTGAATGTGTGCCCTTGTGCTCATGAGTGGGGGGGGAGGGGCAGAGGGAGACTCTCAAGCCGACCCTGCGCTGAGTGCGGAGACTCTCTAGGGGCTCCATCTCACTACCCTGAGATCGCAGCCTGAGCCGTGGAAATCAAGAGTTGGTTGCTTAACTGGCTGAGCCACCCAGGTGCCCCTAATAGTGTTTAAATTCATTTTTTTTTTAAATGTTCTTTTTTTGAACATCAGTTAGGAAGTCAGTCTGGACTTTTACTCTTCCATAACACTGTAACGTGCTAATGGCCTGAGTTGCCCATTTAAATGTGCATTTGGGTGCTAGTTCCAGGGCTCTATACACTTAGGATTTGTGCATTTTTTGGTATGTTAATACTTGAGTAAAACAGTTTTTTGTTTTTTTGTTTTTAAATAATGTGAAGAAGTTGTCTTCCCTCACTGTGTTTGGAAAATCATGCTAATTGTCTTGGTGTTCCTAACATTCAGTTTATTTCCATCTTTGAGGTTTTATGTGATAAACAATTGGGCAACATTTTATTCTGAGAAATTTGGAATTGACTGTCCTTAAGGATGTCCTTAAGGATGTGTCCTTAAGAATCCCATTGATTCTAAAGAACACAATTTAGAGAGTTTGAATTTATTTACTTTTCCTAACATAATACCTTTTTTGCATATACTTTATCTGAAAAGGGAAAAATAGTATACAGTTTAATATACTCAGATTGTAGATCTTGCTCAAGTGATCTTTCTTCTCCCCCCAACCCCAACCCCCAGCTTCTTCCTCTTCTTTAAGTCTTGGTCTTTCTCCTCTGCTTATCCCTGTCCTACACTTGATAATGTAGTCAGCGCTAAGAACTAAATAACTGCCTGTTGTAGTTGCTTTTTTCTTTGTGTGTGACCTTCTGTAGTATTTCTACAGACTTCCATGGAATAGTGTAAGTACTTAATAAGTACTGGTCGATTGGGGCACCTGGGTGGCTCATCAGGTTAAGCATCCGACTCTTGATTTTGGCTCAAGTCTTAATCTCAGGGTCATGATCTCAGGGTCGTGAGATTGAGCCCCACGTCAGGCTCTGCACTCAGTAGGGAGTCTGGTTGAGATTCTCCCTCTGCCCCTCCCACCATTCGTGTATGTGCTCGCTTGCTCTCTCTCAAAGAAAATAAAAATTTAAAAAAATGGTGTTACCGAAACTTAAAAAAACACATTTTAAGAAATTTTATTTTGGGCGCCTGGGTGGCTCAGTTGGTTGAGCGACTGCCTTCGGCTCAGGTCATGATCCTGGAGTCCCGGGATCAAGTCCCGCATGGGGCTCCCTGCTCAGCAGGGAGTCTGCCTCTCTCTCTGACCCTCCCCCCTCTCATGCTCCCTCTCAAATAAATAAATAAAATCTTTAAAAAAAAAAAAAGAAATTTTATTTTTTACATTTCTTGTTTTTTGAAGGAACGGTTTTGAAAAATACCGTTTTTTACCTATGCTGTAAAAACTTTGTGAAATTTTTATTACTACAACTTAGTCATTAAAGTTAGTATTTGTATGCCAGTGGTGTGCAGAGCAGGGTGCTTGGTGCTGTGAGGACCACCAGACTGAATGGTTGCTATGCTCAGTGATTTCCTGTACTCAAGGAATTGATGGTCCAATGTGTAAGGATGGCAGTGAGAAGGACAAGAGGAATAATCATGGTGTGCGAAGTTACTTGAGATTGGTATCATTAGTTTTCTTAGTGATGCAGGGAAACTCTGAGCTTCGTAGTAATGCCATTACCCTCCTTATGTTGCTTAGATTGGCTTATTTTGGGGAGCTGCGGGGCAGTTCTCATCCTGAAGATCAGGTGATCATTGACATCAGCCATGTCATCGAGGCCTTTTGAAAGTCCACCTCCATATAGACCTGATGAATTGTAAGTAATTCTTTAGTTTTTGGTTTTTTCTTTCTGTCAAGCCTGTCACGTGTAAAAAATACGTATAGTTGAAACTTTCATCTGTTAAGTGTTTGCTGTTAAAAATAACAAAATAACATGTGTGTTTGTAAATTTAGATTAAAACAAAGCGTATAAAGTGGGAGTGAGTTTCCCCCCGAAGCTTAACTTACAGGATGCCAGTGTTTCTTTTTTTTTTTTTAATTTTATTTTATTATGTTATGTTAATCACCATACGTTACATCATTAGTTTTTGATGTAGTGTTCCATGATTCATTGTTTGCGTATAAAACCCAGTGTTCCATTCAATACGTGCCCTCTTTTTTTTTTTAAAGATTTTATTTATTTATTTGACAGAGAGAGAGACAGCGAGAGAGGGGATACAAGCAGGGGGAGTGGGAGAGGGAGAAGCAGGCTTCCCATGGAGCAGGGAGCCTGATGTAGGTCTCGAACCCAGGACCCTGGGATCATGACCTGAGCCGAAGGCAGACGCTTAACGACTGAGCCACCCAGGCGCCCCCAATACGTGCCCTCTTTAATATCCATCACCAGGCTAACCCATCCCCCTACCCCTCTCCCCTCTAGAACTCTCAGTTTGTTTTTCAGAGTCCATAGTTTCTCATGGTTCGTCTCCCCCTCCGATTCCCCCCCTTTATTTTTCCCTTCCTACTATCTTCTTCTTCTTTTTTTTTTTTTAACATATAATGTATTATTTGTTTCAGAGGTACAGGTCTGTGATTCAACAGTCTTACACAATTCACAGCGCTCACCATAGCACATACCCTCTCCAATGTCCATTACCCAGCCCCCCATCTCTCCCACCCCCCACCACTCCAGCAACCCTCAGTGAGATTAAGAATTCCTCATATCAGTGAGGTCATATGATACAGGTCTTTCTCTGATTGACTTATTTCGCTCAGCGTAATACGCTCCAGTTCTATCCACATCGTTGCAAATGGCAAGATTTCAGGGGTTTTTTGTTTGTTTGTTTGTTTTGATGGCTGCATAATACTCCATTGGGTATATATACACCACATCTTCTTCATCCATCTGTTGCAGGATGCTGGGGTTTCTGTGCAGAGGCAAACTACTGTCACCTATTGCTATTGTTTGCTTCTGTATAACCTAGGCGGATACTTGTGTGTCTATTTATTCATTTTTGTTTTTTCACAAATGGTATGAAGCTTCTGATTTAATGCTTTGTTTAGGTGACTGACCCTAACACTGACTCACTATTAATTTTTTAAGTAATACTTTTTTGAGATAGAGGTCACACACCATACAATTCATCCATTTAGAATGGACAGTTCAGGGGCGCCTGGGTGGCTCAGTTGGTTAAGCGACTGCCTTCAGCTCAGGTCATGATCCTGGAGTCCCGGGATCAAGTCCCGCATCGGGCTCCCTGCTCGGTGGGGAGGCTGCTTCTCCCTCTGACCCTCCCCTCTCTCATGCTCTCTGTCTCATTCTCTCAAATAAATAAATAAAATCTTAAAAAAAAAAAAAGAATGGACAGTTCAGTGGTTTTAGTATATTCACAGAGTTGTGCAACCATCACCACATCAATTTCAGAACATTTTCATCACCCTCTCCCCAAAGAAACCGCTACTGATTAGCACTCACTCCTCGTGTTCCCCCCGCCCCCCATACTAGGCTGTCACCAGTCTTTCTGTTTCTGGATTTGTCCATTTTGCACATTTCCTCTACATGTAATCATGCAGTATGTGGTCCTCTGTGACTGATTCTGTGGCTTGGCATAATGTTTTCCACATTGTCAGTTGTAAGAGTGATTCCTGCCATTATATGAAACAAGCAAGTTTGAGGATTCTTGGCATCCCTAGTCATTTGGAAATTTAACAGTGAAAAATTTAAATTTATTACCAAACATTGATAGAGTTTTTTTTCCTTTAAGTAGTTTGTAGCCTCAACTCTTTGATAACTGTAGTAGTGCTTCTGTTTTTCAGTCCATAGTTTCTCATGGTTCGTCTCCCCCTCCGATTTCCCACCTTCATTTTTCCCTTGCTACTATCTCTCTCTCTCTCTTTTTTAACATATAATGTATTATATGTTAAAATATATATGTATATATATAATATTTGTTTCAGAGGTAAGAGTCTATGACTCTAACTGTAACAGTGCTTCTGTTACATTGCCTCTTGACTAATACCTGAACATTATAGGGACACAGTTGTTCGTGATGATGTGGTCCTTAAGTTATGCTAGAGAATACAGTAATTGAGTAGTGCTCCATGAACCTGAGACTTATTTTTGGGTTGCTTTTGTAAACATTGGTGAAATATAACACACACATAGACAATGGCACAGGACGTGTGTATGAAATAATGAATAAAAAGAAAGCAAAATCATCATGTAGGTCAAGAAATAGAACACCTCCAAGTCCTTCCGTGTGTTCCCACCTTTCCCTGGAAACCACTGTTCTTACATGTTGTTTTTTTTTTTTTTAAGATTTTATTTTTATTTATTTGACAGAGAGAGACACAGCGAGAGAGGGAACACAAGCAGGGGGAGCGGGAGCGGGAGAGGGAGAAGCAGGCTTCCCGTGGAGCAGGGAGCCGGATGTGGGACTTGATCCCAGGACTCTGGGATCATGACCCGAGCTGAAGGCAGATGCTTAACGACTGAGCCACCCAGGCGTCCCTTACATATGGTTATCACTTGATTTTCTTTTCTTTTCTTTTCTTTCTTTCTTTCTTTCTTTTCTTTTCTTTTTTTTTTTTTTTAACTGTTTTACATATCCTAAACAATACATTTCAGTTTTACTTTGTTGTTAAACTTCTCTTGCTTCAAAGGAGTGCTATAGAAATAAAATGTGAGGGGCTCCTGGGTGGCTTGGTCAGTTAAGCCTCTCCCTTCAGCTCAGGTCATGAACTCGGGGTCCTGGGATCGAGGAGCCCCACATCTGGCTCCTAGCTCAGCAGGAAGTCTGCTTCTCCCTCTGCCCTCCCTCCCCCCATGCTCTGTCTCTCTCTAAAATAAATAAATAAAAAGGAAATAAAATGTAAACCATATGTGTAATTTTGTTTTCTTCTAATGAACTAAAACTTATTTTAGTAATAATCATATTAATTTTATATAATATATAATTGTAATATTTAATATTTCACTTAACCTAATATATTTAATGTATCGTTTCAACATGTGGTATAAACACTGACTCATGAGGTAGTTTACATTCCTTTTTTTAATAGTCGTTATTTTTTTTTTTTTTTAAGATTTTATTTATTTGACAGAGAGAGACACACAGCAAGAGAAGGAACACAAACAGGGGGAGTGGGAGAGGGAGAAGCAGGCTTCCCGCGGAGCAGGGAGCCCAGTGCGGGGCTCGATCCCAGGGACCATGACCTGAGCCGAAGGCAGATGCTTAACGACTGAGCCACCTAGGCGCCCCAGTAGTCGTTATTTTTTAGAGCTCAAAGCAAAACTGTGAGAGGAAGGTGCAAAGATTTCCCATATGCCCCCGCCCTTTTACATGTGTTGCCTACCCCATTATCAGTATCCCCCAACCAGAGAGGTACATGTGTTAAAATTGATGAACCTTCATTGACTAATCATTATCACCCAAAATACATAGTTAATATTAGGGTTCTCTCTAGGTGGTGGTAAATTTTTTTTTTCTTTTTTTAGTAGAGGGGGAGCATGAGTGGTGGGGGGAGGGGCAGAGGAAGAAGGATAGAGAATCTTAAGCAGGCTCCCTGATCAGTGCAGAGTCCAACATGGGGCTTGATCTCAAGACCCTGAGATCATGACCTGAGCTGAAACCAAGAGTCCGATGCTTACCTGAGCCACCCAGGCACCCCTACATTTCTTTTTTTATACTATGATAACTAAGTATTTTATACTTAACAGCACATCTCAGTTTGGACCAGCTATATTTCAAGTGCTCAGTAAATCATGTGGCTAGTGGCTGCCCTATTAGCTCATCTCTGTAGCATTCCATCCTATGGATATGTTACAATTACCTCTTCCCCCTCTAAGTAAACATCTGGACTGTTTCCAGTTTCAGGTTATCATAAACAATGCTTCTGTGAATGTTACAATGTCAATGGGATTTTAAATGATAGAATCATTTTTTTAAAAAGTGATATAATTATTTTGGAAAACACTTCAACATTATCTCATAGAGCTGAAGGTAAAAAAAAAATTTGACTCAAAAATTCTCCTAGATATATACCTTAGAAAAAGAAGTGCTTGTGTGTGTGAGGGCATGTGTTCAAGATGCCCAGATCTACATTGTTCATGACAGCTCCAGATGGAGACATCCCAAGTAACCAAGTAGAATGAGTTACGGAATTTTCATACATGACATTTTCAAAGACCGGCTTGTCAGGGTTCTTTCCAGTTTCTCCATTTCCTTGAATTCTTGTGGTTGGCAGCACCCAGTTGTAAGATGTCTTGCTTTGGAAAGAGAGAAGTGGACCAAGGAAATAATGGCAAAAACAAAAGGGGGTGAGGTCAGTTTAGGAATTGAATTTTGCTCTGCCAGGATCCACATTTCTTAGATTCTGTGTGTCACACATCAGTGTGTCTGTCTCCAGCGATGTTTATGATTCAGTCACTAGAGTTGGCAAGCTATTTTTGTAAAGATCCAATTAGGCATCACCCTGATGAGCCCTCACTGAATATTTGATTTATCTTGTAGCTCTTACCATAACTAACTAGAGATCATGTAGTGATTTAATGTCTTACTGCCTTCGAAGAGACTAACCTGTGGGGGGCCGGGGTTGAGGCACTTCTGTTGATTGTAGTATCCTCAGTACTTAGCACACTGCCCCACATATATCAGCCTGGCGGCTCCAGTAAATAGCTGTCCCGTGAATAAATGAATGGTTGCTTTCTCAGGCAGGAGAGTGAGGCTGCCAGAAATTGGACGAGACACTGGATGGGCCTCTGTAGGTGTCGTATCTGAATGCACTGGTCTCACATCACACAAGCCAAAGGGTCGACATCATTGTTCTAAACTGCTTGGGTGCCCTCCCCAGGGATTACAGTTTAACTGGCGTGGAGTGCTCCAGCTGGGGATTATACACATTCCCCAGGTGACTCTAATAGGAGAAAATGCGAGAACCTCTACTCTGTAGAAATTAGAGCAGTCATTCTTTTTTTTTTTTTTTTTAAAGATTTTATTTATTTATTTGAGAGAGAGAATGAGAGAGAGCACATGAGAGGGGGGAGGGTCAGAGGGAGAAGCAGACTCCCTGCTGAGCGGGGAGCCCAATGCAGGACTCGATCCCGGGACTCCAGGATCATGACCTGAGCCGAAGGCAGTCGTTCAACCAACTGAGCCACCCAGGCGCCCAAGATTTTATTTATTTATTTGAGACAGAATGAGAGAGAGAGAGAGAGCACATGAGAGGGGGGAGGGTCAGAGGGAGAAGCAGACTCCCTGCCGAGCGAGGAGCCCAATGCGGGACTCGATCCCGGGACTCCAGGATCATGACCTGAGCCGAAGGCAGCCGTTTAACCAACTGAGCCACCCAGGCGCCCTAGAGCAGTCATTCTCAATGTATGGCTCCCAGACTTTCAGCAGCAGGAGCATCTGGAAACTTGTCCTACCCCAGGCTTGCAGAATCAGCAACCTGGGGTTGGGGACCAACAATCTATGTTTTAACAAGCCCTCCAGGTGATTCTGATACACAGAAACCTTGACTCTTCAGTGCGTGTCTCAGTAGCTTCTGGGCGCTATAACACAGTACCACACACTGGGTAGCATATAAACAACATGAATTTATTTCTCAGTTCTGGAGGCTGGAAGTCCATAATAATAAGGTACCAGTGTGGTCAGGTTCTAGAGAAGGTTCTCTTCTGGGTTGCATACTGCCCGCTTCTTGTATCCTCACATGGTAGAAGGGGCAGGACGGTTCTCTGGGGTCTCCTTTGTGAAGGCACTGTTCCCATTCATGGGGGCTCCAGCTCGGAACCTAGTTAGGCCCCACCTAATACCATCACATTGGGGCTTAGGATGTTGACATTTGAATTTGGGGGGACATAAAGTGGCCTGTTGTAGTGGGGTGGTACTGAGAGTTGGTTTTGTTTTTTGCCAGTAGATGGTTTAAATTATTTCCATGTACATTCTGTGTTCTTTCTGCTTCCTCCAAACAGTATTAACTTGAAAGTGTTTTCATGTGCATTTCAGCAAACCCAATCATTATGCACCAAGCAATGATGTCTACGGTGGAGACATGCACGTTCGACCCATGCTCTCTCAGCCGGCGTATTCGTTCTACCCGGAAGATGAAATTCTTCACTTCTACAAATGGACCTCTCCTCCAGGAGTCATCCGGATTCTGTCTATGCTCGTTATCGTGATGTGCATTGCCGTCTTTGCCTGTGTTGCCTCCACACTTGCCTGGGATCGAGGCTACGGAACTGGCTTACTGGGTGGTGGTCTAGGCTACCCTTACGGCAGCGGCTTCGGGAGCTACGGAAGTGGCTATGCCTATGGTTACGGCTACGGTTATGGCTATGGAGGCTACACAGATCCAAGAGCAGCCAAGGGCTTCCTCCTGGCCATGGTGGCCTTTTGTTTCATTGCTGCGTTGGTGATATTTGTTACCAGCGTAATACGTTCTGACATATCTAGAACAAGAAGATACTACTTGACTGTCATAATACTGAGCGCTATCCTGGGCGTCATGATGTTTATTGCCACAATTGTCTATATAATGGGAGTCAACCCAACTGCCCAGGCTTCTGGGTCTATGTACAGTTCACAGATATATGCCATCTGCAACCAGTTTTATGCATCTGCAACTCCTGGACTTTACATGGATCAGTATTTGTATCACTACTGTGTGGTGGATCCCCAAGAGGTATGGGTGGTTTTTGCCCTTGCCCCTGCTTTGGGTATAGGCACTCGGGATGCTTAATAGAATCACTTTGGGAACTTTTTTTAAAAGATTTTATTTATTTGACAGCGAGAGACACAATGAGAGAGGGAACACAGCAGGGGGGAGTGGGAGAGGGAGAAGCAGGCTTCCCGCCGAGCAGGGAGCCCGATGCGGGGCTTGATCCCAGGACCCTGGGATCATGACCTGAGCCGAAGGCAGACGCTTAACGACTGAGCCACCCAGGCGCCCCACTTTGGGAACTTTTAAAAAGTATTGATGACAAGGCCTCACTTGTATTTAAATCAGAATGTGGAGAGGGGCGCTGGGTGTCATTGTTAAGATAGTATTAACATACCATATAATTCATCCACTTAAAGTTTGGTTCAGTAATTTGAGTATATTCAGAGTTCTGCAGCCATCACCATAATCAGTTTTTTGTTTTTTTTTTAAGATTTTATTTATTTGACAGAGAGAGACACAGCGAGAGATGGAACACAAGCAGGGGGAGTGGGAGAAGGAGAAGCAGGCTTCCCGCCGAGCAGGGAGCCTGATGCGGGGCTTGATCCCAGGACCGTGGGATCATGACCTGGGCCGAAGGCAGACGCTTAACGACTGAGCCACCCAGGCGCCCACACCATAATCAGTTTTAGAACATTTTCACTATCCTCAAAAGAAGCCCCATATGCATTAGCAGTAAATTCTCCTTTCTCTAATCCTTCCGAGATTTAGCCGACTACTAATCTTATTCTATAGATTTGCCTATTCTGGATATTTCATATATACAGAATCACACATTATGTGATCTTTTATGATTGGCTTCTTTCTTTTTTTTTAAGTTTTATTTAAGTAATCTCTGGACCCATCGTGGGCCTTGAGCTCACAACCCCAAGATCAAGAGTCACATGCTCACCCCCACCCCCGACTAAGCTATACAGGCGCCCCTGTGATTGGCTTTCATTTCACATTAATGTTTTCCAGGTTCATGCATGTTATATCAATTCCTTTTGATTGCTGCATAGTATTCCATTGTATGGCTATACCATATTTTATTCATTCATCAATTGATGGACATTTGGGCTATGTCCATATTGGCTGTTATAAATAATGCTCTGAACATTTGTGTACAATTTCTTGTGTGAACCTGTTTTTTAATTTCTCTTGAGTATATGCCTAGGGATAGAATTGCAGGGTCTTATGATGTCTCTTCTGTGTGTTTAAGCTTTTGAGGAACTGCCAGACTGTTCTCCAAACTGGTTGCACTGTTTTACTTTTACCAGAAATGTGTGAGGATTCCATTTTTATACATGCTCACCAGCATTGTTTTGTCTGTTTGATTCTATCCATGCTAATAGGTGTGAAGTTGCTAATCTTTTTCCTTATGGATTTCTAATTTTTTTTTCCCAATTTTTTCCCCCTATCCTTACAGTGACTCAGAAATTCTCACTCTTTTACCTGAATGAGTCACTCTTTTGGGGTGAGATCATCCCCAGTAACTACCATTATTTTGAAGACTGAAATGTTTTCCCTCTGAATTTCAGAATATTTGTTGTTGGCATTCAGATGTATCTCTGGTAAACAGGGCTGAGGGTTGGTGCTCCTCTCTTACCACACCCCCATCTCTCTTAGTCCTCTGTGTGCCAAAACCTGTAATCACTGAAAAAGGATATCACTGTTAGATGGCTGCACAGAGACCCTCCTGTTACGATGAGCAGAATCCAGGCCAGGGTCCTGGTACTGCCTCAATTTCAAGTGTCTCCAGGCCAGTGGACCACTTAACATACTTATCAGACACTGGAAGAACTATCAGGGCAAAGGTTTCCTTGTCACAGGGCCCTTTCTTCTGAGTACACAAAAGACTCCTCTAACAGAAACCACCTGCCAGACTACATGAATCACTCATCCATTTTCTCTAATTTATAGTTTGGTTAGATCCTGTCTCATAATTTATGGTAAGGTAGATCCTCTATAGACTGGAATTTACATCGAGTGTAAAAACATTTGCCCAGTGTGTGTTATGAACAAGATTATAAACATGGTTATGTATTTAAAGCTATTTCTGAGAATAACATTTTTCAAGCCCTTTAGAAGGATACTGATGATTGAGTTAATTTACTGGCCATTTTCATCTGTTAATAAAAATAAGGCCACTTGGCGCTCAAGCTTTGGAACTAGATTTCTGTAATTTAAAAGGGAATGATAGTACCTAACTTAAAGCCTGTTTTGAGTATTGAATTAAGCTGTGTATGTGTTGTTAGCCTCAGCCCAACATTTTATATTTCTAAAATGTAACTATCAGTTTTATATCTGTTAAACCACAGATATGTAGTGTAGGGCCTTAGGTTTTTACTGAGGGTGGATTAGGATAAAGTAAACAATTAAAATCTGTGTCAATATCTTTAATCTCTTTTTAGGCAATTGCGATTGTACTGGGGTTCATGGTTATTGTGGCTTTTGCTTTAATAATTTTCTTTGCTGTGAAAACTCGAAGAAAGATGGACCAGTATGACAAGTCGAATATTTTGTGGGACAAGGAACATATTTATGACGAACAACCCCCCAATGTTGAAGAGTGGGTAAGTGTTTTAAAAAAAAAAAATCAGCAAATGTCCGGTATTTTATTAAAACACCAGGTTTCTGTCTCTAAACCTGACCTTTAGTGCTTTGTGAAACTATGTTCTTAGAATTACTGTTTTTGTTGCAAAAGTTGTGCCCTCATGTTTTACTCAGATCTTTAAAGAAGGTGCTATGATAAGTGGAAATTGTTTTACTGCAAAATGAAAACCAGATTTTTTAGATTTTATATATTATTTGGTGGGGGGGTTCATGCACAAGCAGGGGGAGGGGCAGAGGGGGAGGGAGAATCTCAAACAGACTTTGCACTAAGCCCGACATGGGGCTTGATCTCACGACCCTGAGATCATGACCTGAGTCAAATCAAGAGTTGGGCTCTGGGGCGCCTGGGTGGCTCAATCAGTTAAGGGTCTGACTCTTGATTTCGGCTCAGGTCATGATCTCAGGGTCGTGGGATTTAGCTCAGCATTGGGCTCCATGCTCAGCATGGAGTCTGCTTGTCCCTCCCTCTGCTCCTCCCCTCACTTGTGCTTTCTTTCTCTGTCTCTCAAATAAATAAGTAAAATCTTAAAAAAAAGAGTTGGACGCTTAGCTGACTGAACCACCCAGGCGCCCCTCAGATTTCCATTTTTAAGACGTGTATTTAGGCACTGAAAAGAAATGGCTTCTAAAGGAATCATGCAGAAAGAACTTAGTCTATGCAAAACAGTACCATTCCTCCCCCTCTCCGTTTATTTTCCTGGTTATTTTGGAGGGGAACACTGTTGCTTAGGGTGCTTGCTGTCTTGGGTTAAGAAGGGTGTTTTTGGAGTGGTAGCAGGTGCCATACGTCTGAAGTTTTTACATCAATAACAGCCTAGCAAATTACAGTGTCTAATTGCATGGATACTTAGGAAATACTTCAGTGAGGCAGAGAGAGATTAGAGCAGTTCCCTTTTTTATATATATTGTTATTTCTACCAGTATGTGTAGATGTGATTTGCTGAAAGCTTAGCAAGTTCCTCTCCCCAAAAATATCTGGGAAATATATATTACTGATACCTAACATGTCTTCAGAGATGTCTGAAGTGAGACTTTATTTCTCAGAAACCCTGTTAGGAAGCAGTTGGAAGCATCCTCAGAAACTGTCGTCATAGGTTTCTTTGAGCAGACTGACTTCTTGCCATGAGGGTTAGTTGAGAAACCTGGACACAGGTTTGTTCTAGCCAATGGGAGTGGAGGAAAGAGCGCTAAGGGTGGGGATTGCTGGTCAGGGTTAGGAATAAAGACATTGGTCATCTTGAAGGCTCCCATAGCTCTGGCATTCTGTATGTCTGATTTTTTCTTTAAGATTTTTATTTGTGAGAGAGAAAGAGAGAGCACAAGCAGGGGGAGCAGCAGGCAGAGGGAGAGGCAGACTCCCCGCTGAGCAGGGAGCCCGATGCGGGGCTCGATCCCAGGACCCTGGGACCATGACCTGAGCCGAAGGCAGACGCTTAACTGACTGAGCCACCTAGGCGTCCCTGTGTATGTCTGATTTTAAGAAATCTAGATCTGTAGATGAGATTTTCCTCTAGTTAGTTAAGGAGCCAAAAGGAAACAGTCTTGGGAACATCAGAAGGTCTGGTGGGTACACACCACTGAGAGTGGAGTTCCTATGTTCCTGACCTTGCCTTGAGGCCTGCTTGGTTTCTTTTTCCTCCTCCTCTTTCCCCCCATAAAGCATGAAGGTGTGGGGAATTGTTTTCTTTCGACCTTTAGCTCCAGGCAAGGCCACCTGTAGATGGAATAGGACAGTCTATTGTGAACTATGATGTAAATGTTTTGCCGAGAGTTTCTGGGTGTGTCAGTTTTCACTGGCTGTTGGATTTGTTTATTCAAAGTTTCGAGAGCCTGAAAAAAAAAAACCAAAAGACTAGAGAGACTAGTGCTGGTAATATTAGAGTTCCAGTGAACTTTGGCCTCTCATCTGATTTTACTGTCCTGCAGTTTCGATCAGTTGTAGGTGCTTTTGATAATTGGGCAAAAGATAGCCATAATAATTTATGGACGTGATAATGACGATGAAGCAGAAAGCACTTTACTTTTATTTATTTATTTATTAAATTTATCATTTTATTTTTTTAAGGATTTTATTTTCATTTATTTATTTATTTTTTAAAATGTTTTATTTATTTATTCATGAGAGTCAGAGAGAGAGAGAGAGAGACGCAGAGGCAGAGGGAGAAGCAGGCTCCCCACCTAGCAGGGAGCCCGATGCGGGACTTGATCCAGGACCCTGGGACCATGACCTGAGCCGAAGGCAGACTCTTAACCATCTGAGCCACCCAGGCGCCCTAAGGATTTTATTTTTAAGTAATCTCTACACCCAGGGTGGGGCTCGAACCCACAAATGCAAGATCGAGAGTCGCCTGCTCCACTGACTGAGCCATCCAGGTGCCCCAGCACTGTCTGGCTTCTCATCTCTTTTCCCCTTCCCTTAGCTTCCCCAGTGCCTAAGAAATGCTATTGAAATAAGCTATTTGGAGGTGATTTTAGCCACAGGTATTTTGCTTTTCCATGCATTCTCCCCTCACCTGCCCAAGTTTACTTTGCTGAACTCAGTCCCACTTTCTTGTTTCTTCTGTTTACTTCCACAGCTCTCCTTTCTGTGCTCTTTTGCTCCATTCTCCTCAACACCTCTGTCCCTTTGATAACATAATGTGGCAGGATTTGTGTCCCCTTAATGCCCGTGGTTCTTGGTCCACACCACTTCCAAGAATGAAGAGGTAGACCAGATGAATAGTGGTGGGCAGCAAAGCAAAGTTTATTGAGCAAGAGTATAAAGCTCCCAGAAAGGGAGGGGGGCCCAGTGGGTTGTCCTCAGAGTTTCTAAGTTTAAGGGGTTATTATGACCTCTTTTGCGGAGCTATCTTAAGCAGTCAGGGTTTGCTGAGTCGTGCCAATCAGGGCTTTGGTCACGTATTTGTCTACCTGTTAGGTTAATGTTTCTGTGCTGATGGGTTTTTTTCTTACTGACATCTGGAAGCTTATGTCTTAACTGCCCCTTGCCGGTGATAATGACAAATGCTTTGTGGTTAATTGTCTCATTTTAGGTCGTTTTGCAGAAATCATTTCTGCAAAGGCTGCAAAACAGAATGTTAGTGAGGTCCTGTGTAAGCTGTAGAACAGGATGTTAGTGCTGTTTTATTTTAGCTGTCCTGACTCTCTATCTTCTTGTTGGGGACCCTGCCCTGACTGCCTGTCTGCTAAGTCCTAACGAGAGCCCAGGTGACAGTGTTCGATGCTGCATATGAAGCGCCTGACAGTGGATTAGTGATTTTTCTTTCTTTTGGTTTTTAGAAATTAATACCATAAAAATAATCTTCACTTAAAATAATGGAAAGAAAACCTAGCATTGATTCCTTCTACTAAGTGAGGATTAAAATTTGACTTCTAGGGGCTTCTGGGTGGCTCAGTGGGTTAAGCTTCCGACTCTTGATTTTCGGCTTAGGTCATGATCTCAGGCTTGTGAGATCGAGCCCAACATGGGGCTCTGCACTGAGCGTGGAGCCTGCTTAAGACTCTCTCTCTCAGGACGCCTGGGTGGGTCAGTCGTTAAGCGTCTGCCTTCGGCTCAGGTCATGGTCCCAGGGTCCTGGGATTGAGCCCCGCATCGGGCTCCCTGCTCGGCGGGAAGCCTGCTTCTCCCTCTCCCACTCCCCCTGCTTGTGTTCCCTCTCTCGCTGTGTCTCTCTCTGTCAAATAAATAAATAAAATCTTAAAAAAAAAAAAAAAGATTCTCTCTCCCTCTGCTCTTCCCTCACTCTCTCTCTCCCTCTCTCTCAAAAAATTAATTAAATAAAAATATAAAATTTGAATTGTAGGGAACTGAGATAAGATACTCCCCATATAACTAATAATGGTTTTTTTGTTGGGGGGGCGGAGGAAAACTTATTAAAGGAACAATTAGCTACTGAAAATTAGTTTCCTTCTTCCCTATGTATTAGGGTAGGCCTAGACATTCATTATTTTATTAGATCTTACTGCCTTTCCTGGATTTTTAAAATCTTTAGGATCAGAACCTCCAGAGCAAAGGCACCTCAAAAGTTGTGTCTTAAGAGTTTTAAGCAGGTTTCAGCCCTTAGGTATTATGTGTGGGAAAATGTAGAACTCTGTAATTTCCTGTCTCTGAATCTCCAGCACCATGGTTTCTTTGCCTTCCTAGGGAGTCTTAGGGTTGTTGTTGTTTTTTTTTCCCCTTCCCCTTTCTGGATATCTTGTACTTTATAAAATAAGCTGGCCGTGTTTGCACACTATTGTGGGTGTTAACCTGGTCCTTTGTAGTCAGTCACTTAAGTTTGTACCAGCATTGTTATATATTAGATGTTTGAAGGTTCTTTTAATAAATTTGCAGATGTTATTTTTTCTGTTATGTCTTCAAATTCCAGATCTAGTTGGTACTTTTTCTGAATTAAAAAATATATATATATTGGGGTCCCTGGGTGGCTCAGTTGGTTAAGCATCTGCTTTTGGCTCAGGTCATGATCTCGGGGTCCTGGCATTGGGCTCCCTGCTCATCGGAGAGCCTGCTTCTCCCTCTACCCCTCCCTACCGACTCGTGCGCTCTCTCACACTCTTTCTCTCAAATAAGATCTTTAAAAAAAAAAAAAAAAAATATATATATATATATATATATAGTGTAACTGGGTGATGGGCATTAAGGAGGGCACATGATATGATGAGCACTGGATGTTATACGCAACTAATGAATCATTGACTACTACATCAAAAACTAAAGATGTACTATATGTTGGCTAACTGAATTTAAATTAAAAATAACATATATATTTATGTATTTTTAAAATTTATTGTTTGGTAACTAGAGATTTTGAAACTGCAGTGAACTATAAAGAAAATTCTTCCACCCTGAGGTACCATTCTGGTGTATTTTCTTTAATCCCCCCCCCCACCTTCTTATTCTAAATCAGGAGAAGTATGATAATGTTCCCTCTCAGTGTGAAATTCTACTTTTTGATTTAAC